TAACATCACGGCTTAACTGACAGACGACCGGTAACATCGCGACTTAAATGACGAATCAGGTCAATAACCAGAGTTTAATACCATCAACTGACGTGATGCAACTCACTTTGACTGTAAAGATGAAACGTCAGTCACTGTGAAAAACAACAGTCCTATTCAGGACTACGTTCACTCGGACGATCATACTCAACCTACTTATTTTTGATACTGTTAAACAATCCATCTATCTTAAACTTGTCTTTTTTTTACGGCGCTTACTTATCAAGTCTCCGTGCATGTTCAAAACACCATGAATGGTGCGCAAAAATTAGTGTCGTGTTTTGCGTCACCAGAATTATAAGTGTTGTTTGCATTCATGTGAAATGCCTGTCCCTCTAAAAAAAATTATTCTGAACTTCAACGAACTGACTCCGCTCCATTAAGCGCCCACTCTCTAATAAGCGCCCCCACCTCGAGTTTGTTTTTGCTAATAAGCGCTCCCATTCTAATAAGCACCGCTATTACATAAGCACCTCCATTCTAAGCATCCTAATACCAATAACCGCACTATTCTGACTATTGCGATAACCGACTATTGTTCAATCCTATCGTGACAAGGTTGACCCTAATTCACGCAACCCGAGTGAACGGCGGCGAACGCTCTCGATTGTTAAAATCAACAAAGGGCCTAAAGTACCAAAGATAGCGCAAAAGTGTATGGTTTTGAATGCCCGATGCCTGGCAAAACCTGATGCAGCTCTACTCTTTATGCCGAGCATAGTAACAAAAACAGTGATATCTGTTTCTGTTCGGAGTCATGGTTGAGTAAGATAATCCTGTCTTGTTTGATTTGCACGGAGGGCTATGTTATGGCGAGGAAAGATCGAGCTGGCTTGCGAACTTGTGGTGGTGTTGCTATTAATTGTCGGAATGATTGGAAGGTTAAAGTGTTGAATGTCACTGATAGATTGGTATTTGAGTCTGTATGGTGCAAAATAGCTACAACAAATTCAGAATATTATGCGGCGAGGATTTATCATCCCTCTCATCCTGTTTATGACTCTGTTGATCTCCTTGAATATATGTCGGACACATGTGATCAGGTCCTTGGTGACGGTCCAAACGTTAAGATCATGCATAATTTTCAGTTGAATATCAAAGAATTTACTAGCGGGGAGCGAATCTTATAATGTTTTTCGTGCCAACTGATTATTCCTTTGGAAATCAAAGACTCCTAGGAGCGAGGTCACGGATGAATTGAATTAGTGTAGAAAAGACATTTCAATAATCAAGAAAACATACACAAGGCTGTGCTCTAAGGAGAATTGAAGGGAGCCCGGTGCTCTGAACCTGTAAAATCTAGGGTGCCCAGCATATGATTTGTATGAAAAAACTAAGATTTGCTAGTAGCCCGGGGGCAAAAGTTAGGCGCCAGGGGCCACTGGGCTCTGCTAGAGCACAGCCCTGATACATATATCTTTTTGGACGTCTTTTTGTTGATTCGTAAACGAGCATGGGTACTAAGTGCCACTGCTCTTGAATTTCGCGATCGAGCTTCGTTTAATACGCGTTATTATTGACTACCGAATGTTGAAGATTATTGTTTCTGTCTTTATAGGCTTGAGAAACATGCTATTTTGAAATCCAGGTGTTCTAAACTGCTTGGGCACTGTAACAAATGTACTTTTCTTTCTTTCTTTTTATTATATTTTTTTATATTTCATGACTTTCCTTTGATGACTAGCATTTGATTTCTGGCATGTATTTTCTGGCATACAGTATTTAGCATTTTGTTTTTGGCATCTGCTTTTTGGCATACAGTGCTGAAGCACTTCGTGTCATTTCGTCAGCATTTCTTCGGTAACTTTTTGGCATCTCTACAGCACTCAGGCTTTCCACCAGAGACTAGGGAGCTTCCTTGCCCGAAGCTTTACGTGTTCTGATCTGACCTTGGGAATAGACCTTATCACGGTTTTCAACGCCATCTTGACGAGTAGGCAACCGCGGTAGAAATTACAGTGTTTGTATGAGAATCTATTAAATGTCGAATAATTTCTGTAAAATGGCTGTTCTGAAAAACATATGAATTAGAAACTAAAGCTACACAGTAAAGGATTTTACTATAAACAAATTTTGGGGGCCGATGCTGTGCTTAAATTTCTCCAGACTCTTGCTTTGGACTTTCCATATATTTGTCTGCAATTATTCCAGGGGGAATTTTAGTCGGCCGGAAAATAACTTTTTACAGACAAATGTATGGAAATTTTTAAAAGTGGTTTTAGCGCTTGTAGCTGCATGTAACGCCCTCACATTTTTTCAGTAGAATCGTTAGGAGTGAAGCTTTAGTTTACAATTCATTTTTTTGTCAGAACAGCCGTATTATGTGGAAATTATTCGACATTAGATTCTCGTACAAATACTGTTATTTTTCACGGGGTTGCCCACTCGTCAAGATGGAGTCGAAAACCGTGATAAGGCCAAAAACTCGACACATTCGAAGTATCCGATGGTATTCGAGAACCGTTTTTTGCAGCTACAGTAAGGCTGTTTGGCTTATTCGCTTTTCCCTTAACGAAATCCCGTCGCCAGGCTGCGATACACTGTTAGCTCTTTCAACAAAATATAATGGTGTTTTGCCCAAAACACACTAAGCGATACCAAAAGCTGAAAGTTACACCCCAAAGCGAGACGACGAGCATGCCCGCCCCTTTCATATGGGAGTCCCCCCGGGCCCCGAAATATAGGGAAGGGACAGCGTTTCAGCACACAGAGTGGAAAAAAAAAATGCAGCGTCACAGGGGACATCCAAATTAAATCACTATGACAGCGGCGATCGCCATCCTCAACCAGGCGGAAAAAAAGAGGGGACTGTAAACTAGCTTGAATTTCAGCCGTCTCCACGAGTCACAAACTCCTCTTGCGACTCGAGGAGACGTCTGAAATATCAGGCTGACTGTAAACCATATAGAAACCACTACGAATGTGAGTATTGTCCACTAAAATCCAAAGATTTCAGCCCCTAAGCTCTTATTAAGTTCACAGGGTATTCTGTAAGTAATTCATGTCAACCTCAAGAAAGCAAAGTACCTCAAGTAAGCAAATATCGGTTCTAAATAAGGCTATATTTTGGCTTGACATGAAACACTGCACCGACATTTCAGACCATCGCAGACGTAAATGGATAACTGACAAATGATTACTCATGGCAAACAATTACAAGAGGTAGCTGTGTGATAAAAGCTTGAAACTCCCCTCCTCGCGACCCATTTTCACGTAATGATTTTGTCACTCGACCCTAACCCTGTATAACTCCTTTAGCTTGTTGATCAATTGAAGAGATTTAGGCTCTAACAATAAATGTTCGCCGTAGAGTCAAATAGCAAGTTTTAAATAGCGAGACCGGTTTCTGAAATCTAAGATGGTCTCCTTCGTCAGGCGGCTTTAACAGTGTGCTCGTGGGGCTGCGAGCAAAATAAAGTGACTCTGTGGCTGGAAAAGGTTTCTTTTTTAAGGCAAAGAAGGGTCGTTGCGACATTCAATCCTGCTACTCCGAATCTAAAAAAGATTCTAATGAAACACTGGCATCTTATTACAGGCAACAACACGCTCGCGCAAATATATTCTAATGTCCCAATTGTTGCTTATCGGAAGGAAAAATCTCTAAAAGATTCTCTTGTTAGAGCTAAAATTCCTCCTGTTCAACAACAACTTTTAAGGAGTTACANATTTTAAGGTTTTATTAACAATTTTTTTGCTCTCTAATATTTTTATTTTAGAAGCAAGCTTTTTATTATTATTGTTATTTTTTTTTTCTCTTATTCTTTTAAAAAATTAATTCCTACAAAATTTTGTTTTCTCATACTCAGAGATGATACCAATTTCCTTTTTGTTAATTATTTCTTTTTTTTTCTTTTTTTTTTTTTTTGTTATTTTATGTTATTTTGTTTTTATTAATTTTTACAAAAATTATTTTATTATTATTATTTTATTTATTTGATTTTTTTTCATGAAAATTATTAAAATTATTTTTATTTTTCCATGTTTCGGGATGCTCCGGGATGTTCCGGCATGTTCCGGAATGTTCCGTGTTCCGGGTTTTATCGACGCCCCTTTCACACTCCTGTCGATCGCATCTTCTCCATATCAAGTAAGCTTAATATCGCGAACAAATGTGTTCAATTCGTCCAAATATACAACAATGATCCACGTTCAATTATTTCAACGTCCTGTTAACAATTCCAAGTCCATTTTTTGCAGACTTGTTGAAGATGATATTGTCAATGTTCTTTAGTATATTTCGATTTCCATTTACCCATCTTCGGCTGCCTATTCTATGTGTGCTGGGAAAAAATGAACACCTTACTATTACCCTCTAAAATATGCTAAAAACATGCGTAAAAGGCACTGGGAACAAAAGTAATGTTAAGTAAGGGAGGTAAGAGTAAAGTGTTTAAGGCGGAATCTATCAAGAAATAGAGTAATTTCAATTTTCAGTGGACAAAAACCTTACAAGTACCTGAATAATTTAAACGATATTCGCATTCTTTCTTACATTTTTCAGGGCCACAGATATAATTAGTTATCTGTAATAGCAACAAATACTCTTCCATTGGAATCCAAGAAACAGTAAATGTCAAATTTCACAAGAATTGTCAAAACACCCAGGTAAAATTCTGAAAATTTCATGCGTAACATGTAATTTTGTGAAATTTATGACATTTATTTTCTCGGGCTCTCATAGGAAATATTCTTTGGTGTTATTACAGATAACTAAGTACATCTATAGCCCTTGAAAAATGTAAAAAAGAGTCTGATGTCGTTTAAATTATGAGCCTTGTCACCGTTTTCGACACCATCTTGACGAGTAGGCAAACGTGTGAGAAATTACTGTACAGTTTTTGTATGAGAATCTAATGTCGAATAATTTCCCTAAAACGGCTGTTCTGAAAAAAATATCAATTGTAAACTAAACTAGAGCTGTGCTCACCTTCAAAACCACCTACAAGTACTCCACTCTTCCTCAGCTTTAGGGCCCACCTTATTGAGTCAACAGTTAATGGATTATGACTCACGCTCAGCACCCTCAGCTCCTTCAGGTCACTGAGGTCACCAATCTCAGAAGGTAGTTCTTTCAGTTTATTTCCATCCAAGTACAGCTCTTCAAGCTTGGTCAGCCTCTGTATACTGGTAGGTAAACCAACCAACTGGTTGTAACTCACACTCAGAACCCTCAGGTCCCTGAGGTCACCAATCTCAGCAGATAGTTCAGTTAGTTTATTTCCACTCAAGTGCAGCCCTTCAAGCTTGGTCAGCCTCTGTATACTGGAAGGTAAACCAACCAACTGGTTCTTACTAACCCGCAAATCCCTCAGCGACTTCACGTCACCAACCTCAGCAGGTAGTTCAGTTAGTTTATTTGCATCCAAGTACAGCCATTTAAGCTTGGTTAGCCTCTTTATACTGGTAGGTAACCCAATCAACTGGTTATTACTCACCCACATCTCGCTCAGCTCCCTGAGGTCACCGATCCCAGCAGGTAGTTTAGTTAGTTTATTTCCTCTCACGTCCAGCCTTTCAAGCTTGGTCAGCCTGTGTATACTGGTAGGTAAACCAACCAACTGGTTGTTACTTACCCACATCTCGCTCAGCTCCCTGAGGTCACCGATCTCAGCGGGTAGTTCAGTTAGTTTATTTGCATCCAAGTTCAGCCATTGAAGCTTGGCCAGCCTCTGTATACTGGTAGGTAAACCAACCAACTGGTTGTTACACACGCTCAGCCCTCTCAGCTCCCTGAGGTCACCAATCTCAGCAGGTAGTTTTGTTAGGTTATTACAGTCCAGCTTGAGCACAATGAGATTTTTCAGCTCGCTGACACTTGCTGGTAATTCAATCAGATTATTATACTTCAGTACAAGTTCCTCTATTTCACTCAGTTCAGTGACTGCATCAGGTACCCGGAAGAATCTTTCTTTTCCTAATTCACCAAAGTAAGTTCCAATCCTTGTACTGGAATAATGCTCCATGTTTCAAATTGTTAATAAAAAGTCTTGACAGTTCTTCTTATCATCTAGAAATGACAAAAATAGTAACCTATATAGAAAAATCAAAATCATGAAATCATCACCATTAATTAAAAGGTGAATTTTAGAGAATAAAATAAAATAAATCGAGAGCTGCAGATGTTGTTAGTGCATTCAAAAACACTTTTATTAGTAGACAATATTATCAACTATGCTGATTTTTTAATCATAGCTATTTAGTTGCATTTAATCCTTTACCCCTAGTGGGGTGTCATGGAATGAACAATGTCAGGTATTTAATACCATATCAGTAGAGAAACAGTGATATTTGCAAAAAGATGTTTTGGAAGCTGCGTATATGCAGGTCTTTCCTGTTTTAAACATACTTTCCAAAGTTGCTTGAACAGGTCAGTTGTTTGGCCATTAATTTCAAACCATTTTGTGAAAGGTGTTTTCTCTTCAGACAGTAGATGAATCGTTTTTTAAGCTAAAGAATGAAATGTCACACCATCTATTTTTAAAACAATACTTTGAACTCTTCTCATTATAAACATTTATTTATTCATTCATTCATTTATTTTGCCATTAACCACATACAAATAACCCAACAATACACAGAAATTTATCATACATTAAAGATAATATACACTATTCTAACTAAATTATGACAAAGTTAAATGTTTAAAGTGGTAATGACAAGGAAGCGTATATAAGAAGCCGGGGGCTTATAAGCTATAGGCTTCCCTGAACTATAGGGTAAGCCATGCAAGTTCAGGGTTGTAATGAATGAAAATGTGGATTAATTAAATAAAAGTAAAGAAAAGAAAAGATAAAAGAAAAAGAAAGAAAAAGAAAAAAGGAAAGGTATGTAGCTCAGCAAAGAGTATATTTTTTTGTCACCGTTTTGAATTTCATGACTTAGCCAGCTGAAAAACTTGATTCTCTCAGTAAAATTGTGGTGTCCATGGTAACACTTACGTCTGGTCCATTAGAATCTCAAAGGTTCTGGGTCTGGTTCCAAGCAGAGGTAATTGTTTTTTAGCTTTTCTTTAAGAGCCAATGTCGGGAAATATCGAGAATCTAAAATCAGTTCTAAAAATTCGAATTTTGGCTAATACCACCCAAACAACCCTTTAGGTGAACTATTTCAAGAAATGATATTAAAAAATCCTTAAGCGCATTACATTTTGAGAAATTTGGAAAAGTTCCACGATAAAAGAGGGTCTCAATGGGGTGGTGTCATTTACGGTTATCGGCTAAAATTTTGGCTCTCTTACGGATATCGGTTAATTTTTTTCAGTTACCGTTAACGAAAAAGTTAAAAATTAACTTTTTTTGTTTAAAAAAGTTAAATTTTAATTAACCTGTATTTTTTTTTAATAAGGGTCTTTGGATCATCTCGGGTGGAAATAAGCTATTCTTTTGAAAAATTTTAACAATTCATAGATCATACTTTTTGTATAGTATGCCACTTCTAATATCATTTTACACATAGAAGTGTCAATATTCAATTAATTAAAAGTACTCTTTGTGAAAAAGCAAAAGCAGACACGCGAACGCCAAATTAAGGCCGGGGCGCGACGTTCATTATAACAGAAATGGCCGTTTTCACACTAGAGAAGGATTATTCGTGTGAGACGGGTTATCCGTTTGATGATTCGCGTCAGATAGGTAATATGTCTTAATCTGAAAATGGAATAGTTTTAATGTTGAATGAACAATCCGCCTGACTTTTGAAGACGGGATTATCCTTTCCAGGTAGTCTGTCTACAGCCGCCCCCTCTCATCAGAAAAGATCGGAGAAGGGGTGTTTGTGGGGAGGACGCGAATATACACAGGCTAGTCTCAGACGGATGATCCATTTCTACCTATAGTGTGAACAAGGAAATAACAAAATTCCCGTGTCCAGTGTTTTTAATGATAGCGAAGGGCTGTACGGAACGATTGTCTGCCATTGTCTTGTCCGTAGGCCGCATTATTCCGCGCGGCTAATGCGTTTCGGGTCACGTGGTCCGAGCGAGTTCGCCAGCGAAATGCCATGACCGAGATTGCTTGGGTAGACGCCGTACAGGGACTAGGCATGGCAATGTCTACCGTAGCGTCAGAGAAAAAGAGGGAAATGTTGTTTATCGGCAACGTGTTTTAGAAACAGTGACATCTCTGCGTGTTGTTTCACTAGTGTTTCGAGGGCCCGACCTCCGGAAAATTGCAAATATTAATCCCCAGCAAGAAGCCACACTTTCGCTAGTTAGTTCCCCGAGAGAGCGCCGGAAATGGAGCCTAGGTCTTGGTTAAATCCTGAAAGGCGCTTCGCCTAACATGCGTACGGAGTCACACTAGCCGGGAAATAAAAAACGCAACCATAAGTGAGTTTATTACCTTCCTTAAAAGTAGCAAATCTAGGGAACACTTTCTTTTACGGTTAACTCTTTTTTACCCTATTTACGGCTAATGGTTAAAATTTTTCAATTTTCACGGCTATAGGCTAAATTTTTGGCCGTTTTACGCCTATCGGTTAACCCCATTGAGACCCTAAGACCAGTGTTTCTTGGGAAGACCATAAGCCGAGTGGTTCAATGTAATACAGCTGAGTCTATTACAGATTTAACATTTTTTTAGTGATATAAACTGGAAACGACAGTATTGACCGTTTTATAACTCAAACTAACTCAAACGTTTGTTTGGTAGTTCTACGCTTATAACCGTCACAAATTCATTAGTGTTCAGCAAGCTTTTCTATTGTTCGTCCATGTGGTCTAGTACAACAAAAAAGAAAATTGCTAGGCTTTAAAAAGTTCAGAATTTGGCGGCACGGATTGTGACTGGCGCAAGAAAGTATGAGCACATCACGCTGAGATTAAAGGAACTCCACTGGTTGCCGGTTGCTAAGCAAGGACATTTTAATGGCTTTCAAATGTATAAAGGGATTAGCCCAAAATCCTTGTGTAATAAGTTTTCGACAAGAAGCTAGGTGCATACTAGAAATACTAGGAATAAAGATAAACTTCGTATACCATCTTTTAGATCAGCAACAGGTCAGCAATCTTTCTCATATAGGGCTGTTCAGCCCTGGAATGACCTTCCAGAAAGTTTAGCAAACATAGAGTCATTTAATGTTTTTAAGAACGCGATTAACGGACGTGTACTTGACGAGTTTTTAAGCCATTGATACTCAATAGGTGTAATTATGCATATTTTATATTTTTAAATAATATGGTAATGTTTTTATCACTTTCAAATGTTTATTTTAGATTTCTATTGTTCAAATTAGATTTTATTGTAATTGGTATGTGAACACCCATTTTAATTGGATGTACCAATAAAGTTATTGATTGAAATATAACATCTTCGCTGGGATCGATCAAGTGAGCGGAAGTCGACGGCATCATTTCCGTCATTTTGTAAGACGCCGCCGACATATCGATGACTCATCTGGTTTAGGTCGATGTTATCTAGTGCCTTCCATTTAAAACACGCGCCGTCACGTGAGTTACCGCTGACCGCCCGCAAAACTGTATTCAGCCACCTTAATACAGGTTGGCAACAACAGAAATGACCATTTCAGGTGCATTTTAGGTGTCCGCGTTCGCTTAAAACGGGTGTCCACTTATATTAATAAAAGTTTCATTTAAAGTAAATAAGGGAAATAAATTTGGGGACTTCGGCTACTGTTGGCTTAAGAGAGGGTGTCCGCTTAATGCGGTGTCTTGCTTAATACAGGTTTCACTGTATAAGTAAATCTACGCCATTTTCTCGACCCTGAACGCGATATTTCGAAATAAGAGGCAAAGAAAAGAGGAAATGCGTGTATTAACACAGGGATTTTTCGGTAAATTCCAGAAAGGCGGGAAATCTTGCGACCAAGCGAAAAAAAACAAGCATCTCTTACAAAAAGACTATGAATGAATCTACGGTTTTATCCTCGACATTTTACCCTCGACCCTCCACAAAAACCTACACTCTTTTTCACACTACCACGAGCTTATGAGTTGAGTTTAGCCTTTCAACACTTTATTTTTATGATTCCTCTCCAACCGTTTTCAGCCGTTTTGAAGATAGATCTGGCTGGAAATCTGGACCCTTGTCATCTAACTCGTTACCCGAAGCTGATGACTTATCCAGGCAGAAAACCATTTTTATTTTGACAGTGTGTCCTTGACTTTGTTGTTGTTTGGTACTTTGTTTTGCCGGGAGAAATATATTTCCCCGCATCGTGATGTTTGTATGATGTTACTTCTGATGTCCATTGAGCTAGAAGCGAAAAATCCATTTGAGAACCAGCTCCAAGACCTCCTGCTTCAGATTCCTTTTCCTCTTTATCCTGATACATTTTCTTTCTCTTGGATTTAGATAGCCTATCCCAGGCTCCGAGATAGTCGGGTCAGCGGGGAACATTAAAATAGACGGGAGGAAACTGGGGAGAGGAAGGACCCTTTCTTTTTTCTTCTTCCCGCCCTTCCGCCCTTTTCGCGTGACTTTCACTTTCGCAAGGGAGCTCAGGGGGTCAAGACAAAGACAAATCTAGCAACTATGGCCTCAGGGGAAGTCAAGATGGCGGCCAAACATGAAGCTACACCCGCTTGCTATTATATTTTTGAATTAACCGAGCATTTTTGAGCGTGTTACGAAATTATTTTGCCTGAACAGAGGTTAGCCATATCTTCCAGAACATTTTTCTTGAAAAATATAGGTCATAATAAGGTGAAATTTAGCCATTTTGTTCACTGACCTCTAGCGCCAACCGATCGGTGGATTGCAACGTACTTATATGCATTAAATTACTCAACTCCGTGAATTTTAACCAGAAAGGAGAAATTTGGTGGCATATTTTAGAAAATCGCTTTTCTGAGTTTTGAAAGGTAGCGATTTTCTATCGTGTTAATCTTGACAGGATTCTAAATAAAACAAATTACTTTTGCTTTCACAAAAAACATTTTTTATTTATA